CCAGGGATTAAATTCCTGCTCAGCCATGGAAACCCACCTTGGGCAAATCACACTCTAAAGGAAGGTAGTGAGAAACTACTTCTGAAGATACAATTTCATCCTCCACTACTGAAAATGTAAATATAATGCCAAAAAACTCCAGTGAAAGGTTCACTTTAGGAATGCCATAAATCAGAAATGACATGAAGGCATGCAACAACAGCATAAATTCATTCATAGTAGTATTTGGGGTAGTTAGATGGTGGTGAAGCAAATTGTAATCCCTCTAGCTGTTCAGTGAATTATTCTGAATGAGGCAAGGATTCTAGTCCACACTTGCAATTCTGACTATAGAACTGAAGGGCATTTATTATTCTGCAATTCATCTTGTCTGGATTTCTAGGCTACCCTAGTTGCAGAGCATGAGAGAGGTTAGAATTTAAAAACAAAACAAAACATACACAACAATTTAAAAACACTGCTTGCTTTGTGATTTCTTGGATATAAAGAAAACAGGTGCCTTGAAACAGAGCTGGAGAATACCTGGTCCTCTATAAAGTTGTTGGCCTGCAACGTCTACAATCCCTCACCATTGGCTCTGCTGGCAGGAGCTGATGAGAGTTGCAGTCCAACATCATATGGAGGGCAACACACAGTCTGTGGCACCTAGAAGGGCAGCAAGTTTTGTTTGACACAAGCTTTTGTGGATAGCAACCCACCTCATCAGATGCACTGACCATAGTTGCCTGCTTTTTCCTTAATGTAAGTTTTCTGTACCCAAGTTTTGCTGGCCTTTCTTAATTCTGCTCTTCTGATTTTGATGCAGATCTGGTGTCTAAGGAGATTGTAGCAAAGTGGCTGAAATACCTGAGAAACGAATTCCCTACAGTGGCCTTCAAAGCTTCCACTCAGCAGCAGAGCAAAAATTTGGTATGTGATACCACTGGGAATCCAGCAAAACATAATTTACACCCTGGATGGTGACAACTAGATTTGCTTTTAGAAAAGAACAAGGAACACAATGTGGAGATACCATGATCCAATAAGCAAGCCCCTGCTTCCTTTCAGTGCAAGCACAATTGCCACCAATGTTATTTTCTCCATATTCCCCTCTCCCACTTCAAAACTGGCAACTTGAGCCAGCATGGTGTAGTGGTTTGAGCACTGGACTATGACTTTGGAGACCAGGTTTGAATCCTGGTTCGGCCATGTAAATACCCACTGGATGATCTTGACCAAATCACACTCTTTCAGCCTCAGAGAATGGCAATGGCAACTCCCCTCTGAAGAAAGTTGCCAAGGAAAACCTGTCATATATTTGTCTTAGGGTCGCCCATAAATCGGAAATGACTTGAAGGCACATAACAACAACCAAGGAGGAATTAGACTGTTTTTCTGGGTGGCTGGATTTGTGAAGGAATGCAGTCAGTGAAATCCAGGGATTTTCTCATTGAAATGAGATTCAGAGGCATAGCCATGTTAGTCTGGAATATCAGCATGCATAGGGCTCTTGTAGCAGTTTGAGACTATGGGCCTTTACAGATTGCCAGAAATAATCCAGCTTGAGACCACTTTAACTGTCCTGACTCAGTGCTAGGGAATCGTAGGAACTGTAATTTATTGTGGTACCAGAGCTCTCTGACAGAGAAGGCTTAATATCTCAGAAAAAACTACAATTCCCATGATTCCCTAGCATTGAGCCAGGACAGTTAAAGAGGGCTCAAGCTGGATTATTTCTGGCAGTCTGTAAAGGCCCTAACTGAGTGAAAGTTGTAGCTTTTGTAGAATCTGAGGAAATAGACCAAGTCTACAAAAGCTTATGCTACAACATCTTTTGCTCAGTTAGTCTCAGAGGTGCTACATGATCCCTTTTCATGTTCTCTGAGATGGGCACAGAGGGTATTGGAAACAAGCAGATTTCAGGAAAAGATTCCCTAACTTTTGCATTCTGCAGCATGATGTAGAAGGGGTTGGGACCTAGAAGACTACAGTTGACCTGGCTGGGGGGATGGAGTCAGGAGGGACTTACTCACAGCTCCTCTTTTTCTTCCAGCAACAGAGCCATGTCCCAGTAACTCAGGCCTCGGTTGACTTGCTCAGCAGCGGAGCCTGTGTCGGAGCTGACTGCCTCATGAAGGTGCTAGCTAACTATTGCCGGAACCAGGATGTCAGGACAGCCATAACAGTTGGAGTTGTGGGTAAGCAGGACTTCATCTCTGAGGAATATGGGAAGTAGGGAGGTAAGGGGTGCATCTGCACATTACCCACAAGTTGTTTCAAGAACCCTGGGAGATATGAATTGCTTTGTCTCTTTGATATAGGACAGAAGCCAAGCATTTTGAAATCTTCCCTGTCTTCATTTGTAAATACAGTCGTCCCTACCCATTCATGGACTTGAAGTCCGCAGCCTTGCTCTTCATGCGAGGGACAAACGGCGGGGAATGCCTGTGTGTGGCTCTGCATATGTGCCATGGGCACAAGCACCATTATTTTCAATGGGACTCGAATATTTGTGAGTTGCCATTTTCATGGGGGGGGGGTCTGGAATAGATCCCCTGCACATTGGGAGGGGTACTGTATTGATACCTATTTCAGAGGTCCAGAGGACCTGACAAAGCAGTTATTCCTCTCTTCTGTTGCAGGTGGGTGGGTAGAACCACAGCACCATCTGCCCAGTGTGAGAATATTTTCCTTTCCTACTACCACTCTTGGGCCTTTGCCACATCTTCTGTTTCTTCTTCTACTTCCAAGAATATTACACTAGGAGGGCAATTGGTACTTGGATTCAGATGAAGAAGGGAGGTCCCAGCTGGGGAAGAGGTGTTGCTCACAAATGGGAAAAGAGGAAGAGACACAGCAGAGGAAAGTTAGGACAATTCAGCCAAGTTATCTTGAACCCTACTGGAACCTTTGGTCAGTATGCTCAAAGGAAACAAAGTAGGCCATGCTGCCTCCTTGCCTTAAGGCTATGCTGCCTGAAGTGAAGGACAAGATGACCTCCCTTTCCCAAACCATCTACTGAAGGCAGCTGAATTGACAATTGAAACTAACTTTGAGGCTTGTGATGTGAGACAGCAGTTTACTGGGGCCAGGACAGGTTGTGTGGTGTACACAGCACTATCCTCCAGTGCTCCAGATAATAACACACAGAGTTCAGGAGCTGAGAGCCTTTTGCTGTTTGGAGAGACTCTGTCGAATGGTTGAGTTGGCCTTGATGAGCAAGGATTCTGCCTGTCAATGCCATTGGCTGTGACGTCTGAGTCTTTGTTTTGATTCCTGCCAGTTGTTCATTCAAGGATGAAAGGATGCTGGGGCTTGTGTCTATTTTTCTTCTGTGACATTTGTTTAATGTAGGGCATGATGGAAAGGACTCTGCAGGATGCTCAAAGAAGTAGGATCCCTCTTGAATGGGAGCATTTATTTAATGTGAGTGCCTTTGGCTGATTGAGGCACTCTTTTCTATATCCCTGGCTGCAGGCTTCCCAAATGTTGGCAAAAGCAGCTTGATCAACAGCCTGAAGAGGAGCCGGGCCTGCAGCGTCGGTGCCACACCTGGTGTCACCAAGTATGTAGCAGTCTTTCTGCATGTGTTTATAGCATGCAGGCAGATAAGTGGGTGACTGATGGACTTCCCTTTAAAGCTTGAGCTATGATATTTCCTTCTGTAAGGTTTAAGACCCTGCAATCTATTCTGTGGTGTCTTTAGAACCTGTAATGGGGTGAGGGGAATCTTTTTGGGACAACAGATAATAGCCATCTGATCAGCTTTGCTGTGTCCATGGCTGGAAAAATTTGGGACTCCAGATGTTCAGAGCTTACTAGATTTCAGAATGTCTGTATGGAAGAGAGGTTGGCCAGTCTAAAGAGGAGTAAGCTAATTGAAGAATTGTGGGTAGAGTTATCAGGAATCCTATTTTGTATGGGAAATGCTGTATGTGGGGATCTAAAATAGGGTCCTTTATCTGAGTGATATTAGATGCCTCCATTCCCATATTTGAGTGCATGCACCAGCTACACTCCCACCATACTGACCCCTGAGCGTTTCATATGTATATAGCAATCAGGCCTTACATATCTAGTATTGGGGATTTGCTTTCTGGGATTTGAGCTACTTTTCATTCTGTCCAGCTGGGCTGATGCTAAGCAGCAAAGTTCCCATCTCTCAGGGGTTGGCCTGCCATCATGATATTACATGGATTTTTTTGGTTTCCATGAGATTTGAAATCTTGCAGAAGCCTGAGATCTCATAAAAGTGTGTCCTCTTCAGAGACTTCAGATGGTATTATATAGGCCTGCATCCGATATTGCTTAGCAGAAAAGTCTTGCAACTCTAATGGTGGGTGGTAGCATAGGGCAGCTCAAATTTGGCACTTGAGACATCATTCAGTTTGAGTTTGGCAATATTGCTGCCCATGGGAACTTACTGTTTTTGTGTCCCCGAGCAATACAGGTACACACAAAAGACTTTTTCATCCTCTTCCTTTTAGAAGTGAACAAGCTGATATGCTTTCTGCAAGGCTCTGTAGTGTGAGGAGAGTTGCTGGCACCTTTCTCTTCTATAGAGAGTCAGTGTAGTTGTTGCTGAGTTTTGGCACCAGTTTTGAAAGTAACAAGAACTTCCATGATCACCGTTGAATATCAGAAGGGGGTGACCCCCAGTGTGTAGTGGGAGGTCCAGAGTGGGATCTCCCACACTAGAACACTATCCATTTCTGTCTTATTTGCTGTGAAGCAGCTGCTACTTTCAGAGAGAGTTGAGGTGGTGTGTCTTACAAGATTAAGAAAGAAGAATCTCTAAACCACTCCAGTCTCAGGACAGTCTGGACTGATGTTACTTTGAGGAAGGGCATGGGTTGGCTTAAGGAGCTTTTATTCGGGGCTTCCTGTAAGAACAATTATGAAGGTGGGTGTGAAGGATGAGAGCCTACTTGTGGAATTTTATTTCAATTGCTGTCCTCCCCCTTTCATTATGGGCATTCTTTCAGGCCCTAAAGAATCACCTTTCTACCTTGGCCTGTACCTCTATTGCAGCTTTTATCTATAGGCTGCCCTTTAGTTTTTAGAGTTTTCAGTGATCCTCCATTAGTATGTTCTTTTAGTTTCCAAGCTTTGGTGTAGACCAATTTAAGAGGATTTATTCTAAACTATACTTTCCCTGACCTATAGATATTTTGGATTTCAGCTCCCATGATCCCATTGGCCATGTTACCTGAGGCTAATGGAAGCTGCAATCCAAAATATTTGGAAGTCGCTAATCTGGAGAGGTCTGCCCTAAATTCATACTAATTCAGATTGAAAGTAAGAGGCTTCACATTATTGAATACTGGATGTTTCAGCTTGAAACCATTGCTTTGTTTGGAGGAGTGCTCAAACTAGTGAGGCTACTTCAAAATCCAAGTTTACCACTTCCTTGGGGAAAACTAAGCCTTCCCGTGGCTTCCCTGAAAGCATGGGCGTGTAGCCAAAACCCTGCATGGAAAAGGAAATCTGGCATTGGTGACTAGTTTTGGGTTTAGAGGCCCACGCAGGACTGGTCCTGCAATTAAACAGAGTGAGGTGGCTTCCCAGACAGATTTTGGTAGTCATGAAAGGCCAGCAGATAGTTTGTTAATTGGTGACAGTTGTAATTTTACTGCCAGTTTAGAGAAAGGCACTAGTGCCATTTTCTGCTTCACGTGCCAAAGTAACCTGACTGATGTTGGGCAGTATGCACCTTGGCTTAATGAAGGGGGTGCCATTTGCTACACATCCACAGATAGAACAAATGTCTTGAGCTTCTGTGCTTGTCAAGTGTTGTGTTATTCAGAGCCAGCTGTTCATACCTTTCTACTCATTGCAGTAACTCCTGGACTTTTTAAAAAATCTGTTTTCAAGGCCCAGATTGTGATTCTCTTACTAACTTTGTACTCAACGTAAAACTTCTGTAAGAGGAGCGAAAGTTAGGATTAATCCTGCCTTGTTGTGAGCCAGCAAAGTTGGGTTAGGTAAGGTCCTGGGACTGTGAGATAGGACCTCCATCCTCTGGACAGGAAGTCAAACAGTCTGGTATCTGCCTACTTCAGTTAATTTTATTGTCTCCTCCTCTCGCTGGAAGCAGCTTAAAGATAATGTCAGTTTGTAATGCCAAAATTATTAATCTTAAAATATGTAATTTTAAAAGTCAAAAACTGTAAAAACAACAACAACGTTTTAAAATGTTTAAAATACAG